ACCAGAGCAGAGTAGAGGGGCAGGGTCATCATTTGGTATAATACATTAGAAACAGCCATCTGTACAAAGCCAGCTAGTTTGGTTGTACTCTAGGCATCACATCAGTACTAGCGGAGGAATTAGTGGCGGGATGGAATTAGGAACAGGATTGCCAGTTCTCTAAGGATACTTCATTATTGTCTGATGTGTTTTGCTGCAAGTTAGATTATTTTTTAAATGGGAATATTTTCTTCATGCACCTTTAAACAGATTTATGTAATAATTTTAATGTTTTAATCTAATAATATATTAAAAATTTTTTCCTATTATATATTAACATACATGTAAATTGGCTAATGATAATAATGTCAGTGGTCTGATCCTCTAAACTGTAAGGTCTAGTTCCAAGCCAGCCTGTACATGGGAACTTTTACATTGATTTCACTGAGGTCTGAATAAGGTCGTATAGAGGCAAAAAGCATATTGTAGCCGTTATAATTTTGCTGATGTCAAAGGTGGTCACGGTGAACTTACAAATGCACCAAATAGGTGAGATACTATTCTTGGGATCTGTTTCCTTGTTGCCGACCTGAGTATTTTAGCAACTCCCCTTGGCAGCCAGTGAGGCTGGAAAGGGGAAGAAGATGGAACTAATGCCTCACATTTTTCTTTACAAAATTTTCACAAGTGCATGCACATTGAAATACATACATGTGACTTCTGTTTGTACCTTGTACAATAAAGATACGTTGCAGCTCCTTTTTATCTTCCACCTGCCTGTTTTAAACGTTTTCAGCTATAATGCTATTTTTGATAGACACAGTCTGCCAACGACCAAAGAATTTTTGATTCAGCATGTATATCTAAAATCCTGACATACCTGGCTTGCAGCTTCTGCTTTCAGATCTTCATCCGGATCTACGCCAACTCTGTTAAAAATCCAACAGAACCAAAGACATATGGCAATGGTCTGATGTAGATTAGAGAGCTTTGGGGGCAGAAATGCTTCTCTTGTGCCCCACATTTCCTACTAGGTGAGAAATGCAGAGAAGAGCTGGCAAAACATTACGATTACTTTTTTGATCAGGGAAGTTCTTAGTGAGTTTTTAGGACAGTTTAGGGAACACTCCTGTTCAGTTACATACATTACCTGCTGGATAATAACTTTATGATGAAATGGCAAAAAAAGCACACTCAGGTTTGGACTGTTATTTGCCTGATCACCGTATTTTTGACCTTTCCTGTCTCCTGAGAAGGTTCACCTATACAGCACCTCAAAGGTTATGTAAGGAAATCCAATGTAGTCACTGTGGCCTTAAAGCAGCCATTCATATATTTTTCATTTCCTGTAAGTTCTTAATTTTGATAATATGAATAACTTTATTTCTAGTTCTTCAGATTAACTGATCTAGCACTGTGCTTTGGGTTTGAACAATAGTGGTAAATCTGACTTCACACCAAAGAGGTTTCAAACTGCCCTGGGATGGTGCCTGGGGTAAGTCCACATCAACTGAACACTTAAGGGCTAGTGTGAGACCAGTCTCCCTCTTACGTGCTTACAGGCATAGTTGCAGCATTTCACTGGCTTCATTCCTTTTTTTCAGTAACTGGTGACACAACAACCCATGAGACCCAATGAGTCTTTTCACAAGCAATCATATATACAGTTTCTCTTGGCTTTGTGAGCTGAACCCTCCAAACTAGCATGAAAAATACAATTGCTTTCTTCTAAATTTATTTTAAAAAAATGAGGAGAGATGCAGCTCAGAATTGAGATTTGGGCACAGTTGCAAGCATAGTAGGGGTAGTACACCAAGCAAGGTGGTGTAATTTGGAGCAGCCCCATAACTCTCTCAGCAACCCCAAGCCTGGTAGAATCCATACAAGTACCAACTGGTGTGAGTTTCCACCATGTTTAAATACAATTGCTTAGCAAAATTACTTCAGACTAAAATGACAAATGCTGGTAGCTAAGGACAAAATTCCATACTGAGATGTAATACATTATAAAACCAGTTAAATGTATTCAACACAAGGAATCAGAGCCTTGAGATACATTTGTAAAGATGTCTGTTTTATCTCAGTTTGACCACACACCCATAATTTATGAAGCTGTATGTTCTGATGTCAAGAAATTAAGTGGGAATTGTGAAACTAGTAGCTTTATAGTAAGAAAATCTATGTCTCGGTTACAAAACCGTATTATTTGACTGGTAAATCTGCTTGGCAGATCTGCTGGGATCCAGAGGATATCCTCAGAGAGGAGCATTTCAGACCAATGATGAGTGTCTACTTTCAGTGTCTTTAGTAAAATCTGTTGTACAGGGGGGTAAAGAAAGAAGCATATCCTGGCATTGAATGGTATAAATAGTTAATACAAGAGTCAGCCCCTCACTTGCAGTCTTGTGGGCCTTCCCACCACTGCGTAGTACTAAGTAGCGGCAGAAATGCCATTGCATCCAATGAAATTGCTTGTGTTAGTGAAAGCACTTGACATTGTTCATTTAAAATTTTCCTAGAGAGCTAGACCAGGACAGGCATCTAGTGACCTAAGTCCTTCGACTAGACAAGCAACTTCTGCCCACCTCCTTTTTTCTTACTCTATTCTCAGAATTATTCCTCAATCTCCTATTATAGGAATCCAAACCAATTTGATGCACAAGATCTAATGAGAATATTTTGTCTCGCCCACGTTTCTGTTGCTGTGTAGAGCAACTCCGTTGCCGATTGACAGTGGGAAAGTGGCAAATCTCAGAAAAAGCTGGCTGAGAGCGGAAGGGTATATCCAAACTGTAATGAACTTGACTGGCGTTATGGGCCATAAGATTCACAGAAACAGAAGGCCCCCACATTGCATATGGATGCCTGCAATTTCTGTTTATACAGTACGCTTGCACGCTACTCCTTATTTTGTCTGCAAGCTTTTACCTATGCTCTCTGTTAAAGCTGCAGTTCAGTTATCTTCAGCTGGTATTTTATAGCAGCAGGAAGGCTTGTTAATCAGACATCATTCTGTAAACAAGGAAAGCATATGCTATATATAGAACAAATGACAAAGGATTGTGAATTACGAGCCTATCGTGATACTGAGGTTTTCTCTGAGGACCTTACAAACCATGGCAGTGAGTTCTAAATGGGTTATGAAGTAACCCAAACTCAGCCATAGCATTAAACTCTTACTGTTAAAAGGGGGGGTTTCTAAAAAGCGCAGTTGGCAGGGCACTATGTTTAAATTAGATACTCCTTATTCCAGCTTCCTATTTCCCTCTCTTTTCTTACCTAACTTCCCCTGTCATTCACTGCTGTCTGTGAATACAAGGGACTAGGAAGTAATTAAAAAAAATAATGTAATGAAGGAGCATATAAAAAACAACAAGTAATAAATTAATGGCTGACGGATGCACCAATGCAGGCAGATTTTCTAGTACATTCACATTATAATCAGAAATGCGTTATTTGTGGCATGTTTGTGTAATAAATACACATTTTTAGATGAGGGAAAAATCTGCCTTTACAGCTCTTTCTTCAGCAGTGAGGAGGACACTGCTAACATTTATTCACAGGGGTGAAAAAGAACAGTAGTGAAACAAACTCTTAGGAAATAAGGATGGGTCTGATCTAGGTCCAAACGATAATGAACTTGCAAAGAACCTGTTCCCTGTGGTTTGGAGCCTCTACCAGGTGGCCTAATACTTCCTTTGTACTTCTAAGACTCTATTAAAAAGCATATAAGTAAGCCTTAGAAAGCTGTAGGAATTTAGTGCTTGATCCGTAGTGATTGCATTCTATTTTGGTGGTTAATATTGTAGAGAGAGTACTGACCTGATCTGAAGCCATGTGAGCATTGGTGTTGTGCCCCCACCAAATACCCAGACTGTGAAAAACACAATAAGCAGTGCTGTCGTAAACATCATTTGTTTGGGCTGGGATTCTGTGTCTCGAATAGCCAATGCAAATGCTATTGCACCACGTAAACCTAAAACCAAAAAAGACAAGAATAATAAACTTAATGTGATGGAAAAGAAGAATTTTAGTCTTTTCACCTGAAACACAATTCAAAGAGCACAGGAAGTTTTCAATACTATTATGTTCAGTTTTCAGCTGCCAGGTTGTACTGGAAAGCTAATGTGTGAGTTCTTACGTCCAGTTGTTGGCTGCAGGCTACTTTCTGCTTCTGATTCTGTGGAGAATGAAATTTGACTGGAGAAAATGAGGACAGAAAAGTTGAAGAAGAAGATACATTTTAGACTATTTTTAATTCTATACTTTATCTGCTGAAAAATAAAAGTTAAATCAGAGCCCAGAAACTCGATAACTAATGACATGAAGCTATTTTTCATGGTGTTGCCTAGTTGGCCACCTGCGAGCTTCACTGGAGTGATCTACCTATATATCTTATGCAGCTAACAATTGTAGGTGAGCAGGCAGTCTGAGAGCCAGCTCCTAATGGATGTATGCCATAATCTCTCACTACAATCTAGCTGGTATTAACTGACATTTTCAGTGGGAGCTTTTAGCAGAAGGACTGAATAGATGTAGAAATGAACTACTGTGTTGCTCTCTAGAGAGATGGAATTATACAGGCATAAATGAGGCACCCTGATGTGGAGTAGTCCTGATGAGGAAGCTTGAAATGTGGCACACTGTATTTTACTTGTTATCTGGCTAAATAGATCAGTGTACGTCAGGGCTGTCAATCAAGACCTTTTATCCATAAAAATCTGGAATAGGTTTTTGTATAAAAAACAGGAAAGTGAATTAAAAAAACCCAGTGCTGACTTTCTAATTTTAGAAAATTACTTCACAAATGGCATTAGGGATCTGTTTCTGTCTTTAACTGAACAAATTGCTTATAACTGAGGTTTTCCTAGCTAGCATCAGAAAGTTAGATGGAGGTATTTCTAGCTTTTGCAAGGCCAAACATGCAGAATCCAGCTGAGATTTTAACAGTTCAGGGGATGATGCACATATCAGAGTAGAACATGGCTTCCCTCTTCTGGATTTTTTTCTTCGTTTATTCTGTAGTGTCAACCAGAGTTAAAAGTCGATCAAATCTGAATTTGGAAAATAACATACTCAAATATCAGGCTGGAATACATATGAAAATGCCTGTGGAATTCAAGTCTCCTAGTCTCTTGTTTCAAAGAAAAACTGCTCCTGAAGTTAAAGGAATTGCCAAAGACCATGTCTGAGTATGAGTACTAGCACTTTCCAAGCTGGATACTTATTCGCTGGTACGTAAGCATACTGTCAGGTATACTACAGGTGCCTCTAAAACAACATAACCTAAACCCATGCTCTTCCCAAATTGTCATGCAAGTGTAGGCAGATGGGGGACAATGGTTTGAAGTCTGTCTTCCTGGGTGGTAGGTTTCCAAAAAGTTAATTAACACGGGCACAGTGGCGTTGATGGGAATACATCCATCCTTCGGTAGCTTTGAAGAGAGTATCTTGAGTTTTAAGATCATGACTACTTTGCGATAGCTGTGGCTTTTTCTAGTGACAGATGGCTATCTCTGTCAGTTGTTAAATGTACATGGGAAAAATACCAAAACAGCACTCACCTGAAAACATCATCATGTGCTGAAAGTTCCTGGGAATCTTTTGTTTCCGACCCAAATTCAAAAGGAAAGAAAGTGGATATATGTTGCAAGATCGTGCTACGAAGACTGCCACCTAAAATGTAGGATGTTGAGGAAAACAGTGGAGGAACTACGAAAAAACAGAGTTAACTTAAACCCGGTATTTCTCCGAAGTGATTTTCAAAGTTAATTAAAATGAATGAGAGATTATTCTCCTTCATATTTCAAATGTCAGATCCTTCTGGTTCCAGTGTCATTACAGGACTGTGCAGTGGCAGAGGCTGTCCTCCCCAGACATCCCAGTTTTATATTCATTATATATCCCACTTCAGTCACCCTACTTTTAGTCATCACGTTGGTGTCACGTGTGACTTCATCCTCCATCCCTCAGTAAAATGCCCATCATCAGCTGCAGAGATCTCCCTGCGCAGCAGCTTGCAAAGAGTAAATGTGCTTTCGGACACAAGCACTTTCTGACTGTCCTGACAGTTCATATTGTCTGTGTCCAGCACTCTTTGCTTTCTCTTTTTCTTTGGAGACTTTTTGGAAGGAGTTCTTTATTATTCCTCTGTGGAACAATCACAAAAGTTGCCTTAATTAGAAACATGAAGCTATTTCAGATTAAAAAAAAGGCAGTCGGTGCTCCTGTGCTCAGCTGTCCAGTGCAACCCTGTCGCGGCCTGCTGGCTCCTCGTGCCAGGGAGGGACAGGGCCAGGTCCCTGGGTCCCCTGCAGCACAGGCCCCATCCGAGCTGCTGAGTCCTGCTCCCACCTTCCACTCTTCTCCCACACCAGGAGCGCAGGACACAGTATTGCACTTGTGTCCTGTGGTGGGGGTGTGCAACAGACCCTTGGGGCCGTCTGCCGTCTAACCCAACCTCTGCCCAGGGCAGCTGTCATGCCGTTCTTGTTATTCTCTGGGAGATTACAGGTAACGATTACTGAAAGTAAACAGCATGATCCCAACTTCCAGAGCTGTTAGAGTTCATCACAATGTGATGAGCAAAGGGCTGCTGCTCTGAGCCAAAAAATCATTGTGTGAATTGTCGGGAAGAGAACTGATACCACTGTGCAAGTAAGGACCAGGTTTGTTGTCAAACGATGGCAGCATTACGGAGACTCTCTTTCTTACCAGTCTTTTACGCACATGATGGTGTAAACAAATTCAGGTACACTGGAGACAGCAAATACAAAGAAGGAAAGATCTGAGCAATGCAGAACTGTTTGCTTCTTAAGGATTTACTCTCATTGAAGCAGCTTAGGGGAAGTTCTGCTTATGGCACATACCTGTCTAGGGGCAGCTCTGCGGTTTGGGGGTCTGCGCTGGCTCTGGATAGGCAAAAGGATTTTGTGTGCCTGCACCTGTCCCCATGGATCTATCCCAGTACAAATCCCAGTTTCTCACCCCACTTGTAAACCAGTGACAAAAGTTCCCCAGCTGGTTTAAAGCTATTTGCCTTGTAGCAGGTCTGCAAAACAACAGCTGTCAGGGCACGTGCTTACATGCATTGAGCCAGTTATTGAGGTACACGTAATAAAGATGATTGCCTTTGGACTTGACAAAAACCTGACTTACAGTATTTAAGGAAATGACTGTTTGCTTGTTGGTGTTGGAACACACATTCTTTATATATATAAATGTACACGGATAAATACTTCTTTAAAGCAAAGGATACAAATGCCCCAAATATAAAAAGAGGATTGAAGATATGATTTTGAAACGTGAATAGTGCGATTCCCATGTAACAGAAGATGACGTTCTCAGCCAAAAAATTCATGAACTCGAACAACTTAAATGAGAAAGAACATAATTATGACTCATGTCTGTAACTCACTACTCCTTATCACTAGGTTCCTTGTTTAGATGAAAGGAACAGAAATCGCATCTATTTCAAGTGTGGATTTTAAAACCATCATCTCATTTCATGTACAGTATATGTAGTGTCTTTTTGCTTTAAAAAGATCATAGTTCCTTGAATATTTTTCTCTGTTTTGTGTTTGAAAGCTTGACATAGACAACTGATAAAATACATAAACAGCAAGTAAGTTATCCAGGCTTCAGTGCAAACTGCAAGGAAGCTGAGGGAATTTAACTTCACTCATGTTTACATAGTGAGCCTGGGAAATGGCTCCTGATGACACCCGTGGCTACGTGTAACACAGTACTGGGTACGGGTGCATGAATGCCAAGAGAGAAAAAAGTACCTCAGTGGACTTTTAAGAACCTGTGCCTTTAAAATATAACATGATCTTTTTTATTACCTTGAATGCTATCCTGCAGATGAAAACTTTTATTGCATTGTATGGACATCAATACCAATTACTCGGTTCAAACCAAACTATATATCATTTAAACATATTATAAAATAAGCTTAAAATACATGGTCATGGTAGGATTTCTTCTGTGGAAAAAAAGAAAAAAGCAGACCCAAAAATATTTGCCTTGAGGGGATGTTCTTGATTGCATTTGCAGCTGATTATATAAAAACTAATAAAAAAATTTTCATATTTATCCACATCTGGGAAAAAATCAGTCATTGCTGCCAAATAACTACAGACGAGAGAAAAAGAGGTATTTTCACTTCAGAAGTCACTTTTGGGCTTGGGAGACTATGCTAACAAATCCTGATGCAGAATTGGGGCTGAAGTTTGTCAGTCTGTCTACAGCCACTCATACATCTCTATTTGGAATGTTACTATAGAGATACTTTATTCATCCTTGATGGGCTTGTGTTTTTTTCTTTTTTTTGTAATATGTTTGTGGTTATAAAAATAAATATACAATAACAGTAAGATCTAACAAAGGAAAAGTGAGAGCTTTCAGAATCATAATTTAAAAAAATTTCAGAGGCAAAATGGCATAAAACCCAGTAGTATATGGGAAGGTATTTCAGACCCCATGGCAGCACCATCAATTATCCCCAGCACACATTCCATAGACCCCATTTGGTGCTGCAGTGCTGAACAGCTTGAAAGCAAACACAGGAAATATTTGCAAGTCTGTTATTTACCAGAGCTCTTTGATTTCCATAACTTCGCAGCATTTTTGTATGGAAGATAGCATGAAGTGTTACCTCCTTACCCTTCATCTCCTCAGCTGACATTTCAGGGCTCTTGGGAAGAACAGGTTCTTATATTTTTTTTGCTTATCCAGAGAATTACTGTTTACCTGGGAAAATCTCCAGTCTTTCCCCCAGTGAAGATATAAACCTCTTCTTTTGTTTTAATGAAATCCCATCCAGCTATATCCAGTACCTCTGTCTATTCCTGACACCAGTTGAAGACACAAAGCCCATTATTTCCATGCCCTACCTGTTTAGTTCTCATTTTGGAATCTGGTGACAGATTGTTGTAGGTATAATGGGCCTGTGTGACTCCACAGAAAAGGACTGCAACAATACCTGACATTCAAAGAAAAAACAGTTAGCTCTTTCTGTTCTCTTACTTAGGTTTTTCAAAGGGGTGCGAAATTAGACTGTTAACATATTTTATAACAAAAGAATTTTTAAGATCTGTTTTATAAGAGCATATTTCAAACCAACCAGAATTGATTATGCAAGATGTACTTTCCTCGTTTATTTTGTCAAGGGTTGAATTTAAATGATTTGTGATTTTTTTCATAGCCCACTAGTAAATATTTGGTCATAAAGTTTGAAAATGAAAGCAGCTATATCAACACTGACCTTACTGTGCAACACTTACCTGTAAGACCACAAGCTTCTGCTGATAAGAAGGCACTCCAGGACAAGAGGAAAAACAGGCCTGTCTCCAACATAGGGAACTCACACAGCTTTGTAAATTTTGTCAAGTGCTAAAAGATTACTAAGGAAAAATAAAAAAACAACCGTTTTATAGGCTGAAATTGCTTCCAACCTGATAAAAGGTGAAGGAAAGCAAGCTCTCCCACCATACTCATCTACACACGTTGAAGTCAGGAAAAACTGCACAGCTTCCAAACTATCTCAAACAAAGAGGTAAATCCAGCACAGGAGTTAATAGGTGAATTCTACAGGTCGGCTATTTCAAGCACTTTTGTGGTTTATGAACTAATGCTTCATTGGCTGCAATTTATATTCTTTTCCTAGGAAAAGGAAAAAGAAATTATTTTTGTCCATTTTTGTAAACAAACTGACATTTGTTTACATTTGCATCAATGCAAGAAAGATGAAAATCACTACAATAGTATTTTACATGAAGAACTGGAAACCACAAGAAATGTGCAGGGCGAGATATGGCTTTTATTTCTAGATAAGGTAGACTGACTGACTTGATTTGTGGTCTGTTGTTTGCCTTGGAGGTTTGTATAATTGCTGCTAGTCTGTAGTTCATAAATAAGTTGTTCCAGTTCCATAAATTCATGTTTTAACCTTAAAATACCTCAAAACTTTCCTAAAAATGTAATTATTTACAAATAGTAGAATAAAGACCAGAGTCTTGCCTGGTGTTAAAAACAAGGTTGCATATTGAGTTCTTTGTGGATTCTGACAAGTGAAATTTCTTGTCAATTTATGATTCGACTGTTTGTTTGCAAAGTCTTGGATCAACAGTGAAAAGGTTCAGGCTCAAACTGAAGATGGTCACTCTGAGATACCACATATTTTTTCCAACATATATAGGCCCTCTCTCTGAAAACAAACCATAAAGGATATTAAAGCTGTCACAACAGCATAAGAGGATCCCATGGTAAATGATCCAGCAAAGATCCCTAGGAAATTTCCCACTGACTGGAAGAAAGCAGCAGCATCAAAAACATTGGGATTCTCCTTAGGACTGTAAATGGATATAGAGCTGAAAAGAAATCAGAGGGATGGGGGAGAGGGAGAGAAAAAGGAATAATGAATTCAATTACATTGTTATGATATTGGAATCAATAATTGAAAATGGACTTTTTTAGGGACTCAAAATGCAAAAAAAAAAGTTTCTCTGGGCTGGTAGCAGGTGAATGAGCAAAGCAGATGGAGAATGTGAGGGAAAAGGTTTATTTTCACGATATCATACTGGAAATCAGTAGTCTACTACCAGTGAGTAAATATTTTTATACTACAAGTGCCATAAAGAATGTTGTTTCCAGGCCAACTAAACCTTGAAAGGTGGTAGGTGTATAAGAAAACTGCAGGGAAGATAGATCACTTTGAATTATTTATTGGCCACGTGTCTTCAGAGCAAGACCAATATGTTTGATAAAAAGTGCAGCTTTAAGGCTGAGACTCAAATGGGTGACACAAATCCCAGTAGGTGCCAAATCTGCAGCATCAGTCTTGTCATGAACCACCTAGTAGTTCCCTTCTTGGTGCAACCCTTTGTAAACAGAGCTGAACGTATCAGGAGCACAGCAATAGGAAACCCTGTGGACAGAATCCGTGTTGTCCCACAGAAAGAAACCGCTGCAGTTGTCCAAGGTCATGTCCTGCATCCCACCCCTGAGTACAGCCATCGAGAGTATTCTTGAGTGGGAAATGATGCCACCAAAGGGAAGGCCACACACTGAAGTATTTTGGGGAGTTTCAAGGTTATTTGCCACTAGTCAGTTACTGCCCAGAACACTAGTAACATCAAGCATGTTGGCCTTTTTTCTTGTTGAAACATTAAATTTCACAGATGCAAAATAGCCCTAAGCCTCCCAAACACTAATTAAGCAGTGTTTTAGATATTTGTGGTTGTGTGGCTTTCAGTACTGTAGGTCTTTTATGTTCATTGTCAAAGAAAATGTACTGAGCTTGGCATTGGGTTCCAGAAAGCAGCTTGGATGGCTGGAAAATGATTGGTACTTTAAGCATTAAAAATTTAGAATTTTTAAAATGTTTTGAATATTTTAAGCTCTTGCATATTAAGAATGTGATCTCTGCAGTTTGATGTCTTCCATCTGGAGATGAGGCTTAGAGATGAAGTTCTGTATGGAGGATTTTCTAAACAGTTGCATTCTTTTAGGAATCTCCAAATAACATGACGACATGTGAAAACAGATCTCGTGCTTTCAGCCCGTAGAAAAGGCACAAGGATTCTAAAGGCATGTGGTGGAGCACCACTAAATACGAGTGGTGAATACTTGCCCACTAGAACAGTAATTACTAAGCACCAAAATCTGGTATCTCCAGTTACACTGATTATCACCACCACAAAAGTACTGAGATGATTTGTAGCGGAAAGTGCTATTAATATAGGTAACACAGGCGCACAGAAGGTGCATTAAAAGAACATGGAGGAGTCCTCTATACTTCATTCTGTATGCAGAAATCTGTCTCCCTGGAATTTACTGCTGACAACATTTGCAAATGTTTAGAGAATTAAGGCTCCAGGAACATGGATTTCACGGAAAAATACGTATTAAGCTTTCTATTTATGTGTATAAGGACTAAAAAAAATAAGTTACTGGAGGTTGAATTAAGTTCAAATGGCTACATTTGAACCTGCGTTTTTCTGGGTATCCACAACTTGGCAGTACATCACATCATGGTTATTATTCCACTCACAACCTGGTTTCAGCACACTGCTTGCAGTGCTATTGGTTTTAATTCTAGAGAAGAGGTCTAGCACTTACTTTAGAAACTGTCTTCTAGCTGGGATTACACTGTTCCCGTTGCTGTGTGCCATGGCATATTTGCTTCCTCACTTTTCTGTCCTTACCTTTGTTGCGTTCTAGGCTTTTCCAGGCTTTATGAACTATTGCAGGACATTCTATTTTGATTACTTTAAACCAAACTAACACTAACTGTTGTTGTATACAAGGCCTTTTCTGTTTATGGGAACCTTTCTCAGAACGGATTTGTTGTGAGTTCCAAAATGGCTAGCTGATGGCAGATTCAAAGCACCAGCCATGCTGGAAAAGTAAAGCTGTCACAGAATTTTTTGAAAATTTCCTAGTTATGAGGGAAACCATCATCTGCATGAAGATAAAAAGAGGAATCCAGGGTCTCTGCTAGATTTACACTCAATATAAAATTTAATAGGCTAGTTCTATGTGTAGACTTAGGCTCCTTTTTAGGTGACACAAAGCATCCTCACACCCTACGTAACTGAATAGCTTACTAAGATTGTCGGCAGCATTGCAAAGCAGCTGCAGAATTGAGTGACTGTCCCTTAACTTGGGCAGTCAGAAATCAGCTTAGCTCATCAGGAGTCGGTTTTGGCAGCTAACGATAAATATTTTCCACACTTCTAACTATTTCAGTTTTCTTCTGCGTTCAGGATGGAGCTGACACATGGCAGCAGCTTGCAGTACAGCCAGAGAAAATATCGCCAGTTTGTGTTGTTCCAGGTAGATTTTCCCTAGTGCAGATCTTTTCATCTACCTTCAAACACCTGGGACTGCAGAAAATCTGTCATTGTCCCTCCTTCTCTGCCTCCCTAGCCACTGCCCTTAGGAAGCTTGCTCTACCCCCTTAGGGAGCCTTGTAAACCATTGCTTTATCAAGGTGATCCCATACTTGCCCTGAAAATTCCACCACCTTCACCTTAAAAGGGCCTGGTTGTTCACTCATCTTGATGGGGTTGAACCCAATATCCTGGTGCGCAGGAAAAGTCTCTGCAAGCCCCTCCTGACAGAGGTGCTGGGAACACCCCCTCCCTCTGATCTCGATCAGAACTCGGTCACTACATACCTGTAGTGACTACAGATATGTAGAAAGGAGATGTGAGGTGACAGTTTAGACAATGAGGAATGACCTAATGGGCCTGCAGACTGAACATTTTCAGGTCTAAGGCTGTATCTGATCTGGTGTGGAGCTTCTCTACCCTTGTGCTCATGAGAAATGATATGTGCTCTCCTAATGTATCTGTGTATCTTAACTTTTCATTACCTTGTTCTAGGCAAATAGTACCCTATTTTTATCTTTGACAGAAATAAATCCTGTAAAAAATATGCATATGGTAAAAACCAAAAAGAGAATTTAAAATTTTAATTTATACATTGCCATTAATGCAGTTAGGTATGCTCTGTGCATTAACACTACTACTAACATTTGTCTATCAGCCTGAACTATCTTTTTGCCTCCCTGCTCCTGACACCTGAGAGCTATCATCCACTTCCAGCTCTCTCACTTCTAGACCCAACCATCCAACTTGTAAAATGATCTAACGATTTGTAGTTCTCTTATAATAAAATAGCGTGCATCACTTTCTTTCTTCATATATGTCTAGATTTGTATCTTCTATCACCTTTAATGTATTCTGCTTCGTTATATCATTCTTCATCTTTGTATTATCCTTCAGTTTCTTGTCTGTGAGCCACTAGCCTCCAGTTACTTGGGGCGGAGTTGAGAAATACTTGTCAGGAGCATTGACACAACCTGCTATTTATGTGACAGTTCTTACCATTAGGCCAGGGCGATGAACACCCTGAAATAAGGATTCGCAGTGAAAACGATGTATCTCTTTTGAAAGACCAAAACTGAA